GGTTGTGAGATGTTGAGTGAGGGTGTGTGTGAGATTGTGTGGCTTTTGGTGTGGAATGGTTATTGTTGTTTGTTGTCGTTTATGCCTGTGAGTATGTGTATGTGCGTGTGAGGGTGGAGTGATGTTGTTGTTTGTTGAGTTTATTAGTGGGTTGTGTTTTGTGAGTTTTGTTGTTTAGTTGTGTTGGCCGGGATGTGTGAGTTGAGATAGTATTTGTTGTTGTGTTGTTGAGTGAGTGTGCCCACCAGGATAAGATCACACGTTGTGTTGGTCTGACGATTGGGCGAAGATTGATTTGCCTCGACTGATCTTCACATGGCCGTAATGCTTTGACCATGTGCGTGAACCGTCTCGGTACATACTGTCGACATTGTAGTAGATGTGTAGAGTGTTGTGTATTGGTGTGGTGTGCGTTTCGGTTTGTGGATGTTGTTGTGCGTGTGGTGGGTGTGATTGAATGGAAGCACACCAAGTCAGCTGCATTCGATGACGTATCGAGGTTAGCAGTGTTACATGTGTGCGAGAGGGACATGCAATAGTCGACGTTTGGAGTCTCCTCCATGTCACATTGCGACATATTTGTTGTTGTTGGTTGTGAGATGTTGAGTGAGGGTGTGTGTGAGATTGTGTGGCTTTTGGTGTGGAATGGTTATTGTTGTTTGTTGTCGTTTATGCCTGTGAGTATGTGTATGTGCGTGTGAGGGTGGAGTGATGTTGTTGTTTGTTGAGTTTATTAGTGGGGTGTGTTTTGTGAGTTTTGTTGTTTAGTTGTGTTGGCCGGGATGTGTGAGTTGAGATAGTATTTGTTGTTGTGTTGTTGAGTGAGTGTGCCCACCAGGATAAGATCACACGTTGTGTTGGTCTGACGATTGGGCGAAGATTGATTTGCCTCGACTGATCTTCACATGGCCGTAATGCTTTGACCATGTGCGTGAACCGTCTCGGTACATACTGTCGACATTGTAGTAGATGTGTAGAGTGTTGTGTATTGGTGTGGTGTGCGTTTCGGTTTGTGGATGTTGTTGTGCGTGTGGTGGGTGTGATTGAATGGAAGCACACCAAGTCAGCTGCATTCGATGACC